CACACACACACACACACACACACTCTCACACACACACTGTTACACTCTCTCTCTCTCACACACACACTCTCTCTCTCACACACACTCTCTCTCTCACACACACTCTCTCTCTCACACACACTCTCTCTCTCACACACACTCTCTCTCTCTCAATCTCACACACAGTCTCTCACACACACACTCTCTCTCACACACACTTTCTCTCACTCTCACACACACACACGCACACACACACACTCTCTCTCTCTAACACATGCACATATGCACACACAAGCATGCATGCACGCACACACGCACATATGCACACACACGCATGCATGCACGCACACGCACACGTATGCACGCATGCACGCGTGCGCTCACACTCTCTCTCTCACTCTCTCTCACTCACACTTTCTCTCTCACTGTCTCTCACACTCACTCTGTCTCTCTCTCTCACACACACACAATCTCTTTCACACACACACAGAGACATGCACACACAGGCACACAGATACAAACACACACACAGACACAGACATACACACGTTGCATTCGCTAGACATTCCCAGATGAGGGCATGAAAGGAAATAGAGTTGGTATCGACCATTCAGCCTTATTCTGCCATTCAAATTAGCTGATTTTTGGACCTCGAGTCCACCTTCCCACCCACTCTCCTACCCCTTGATTCTAACAGAGGTTGATAATCTTTCCATCTCAGCCTCAGTTGTGTTCATGGGTGGAGCATCTAGATTCCTGTGGGGGAGGGAATTGCACAGATTCACAAGCCTTTGAGTGAGAGGCTTAATCCTGAAAGATTGGCCCCTGATCCTGTGCCCCCGTGGTTTCGATTCTCCCAACTCTGTGTTTCTCCTATCGAACTCCTTTCGGAGGTTTGGTCAGAGTGTGACCAGAGAGTGGATGGGCAGGGTTTACCCAAAAGTTCATCGATGGCGAGTCCTCATTCTACGAACCCCATCTAATGAACCTTTGTTGTGCTGTCTCCAATACATCCTTCCGGAAATACGGAGCCGGAAGCTGAATGCAGTATCCTAGATGTGGGTCTCACCAAATCCCAGTACAACCACAGCAGGGCACCCTTCTTCCTGTGTTCCAACTCCCTTTGCAGTAAAGACCAATGTACCATTTGCCTGTCTAATTGCATGGGTGCTATCCTTATATAAGCAAACCCAAACCTTTCAGAACATCAACATTTGCAAGTCTTTCACCTTCTTAAAAGAGGGATCCTGCCATTCTCTTCTAAAGTGAATGACCTCATTGTTTCCCAGGTTATTATCAGTGGTGACCTTGTAGCTCAGTCCCTTCACCTGTTTGTAACTCTTTGTGTCCTCCCCACAGCTATGTATCATCAAAGCCTAACCTAACCACTTTTTTGCTTCAACCAGTAAATCAAGGAATAAATCAAACCCAAATCAATCAGTAAATGGGGCGGCACGGTGGCTCAGTGGTTAGCACTGCTGCTTCACAGCGCCAGGGACCTGTGTTTGATTCCACCCTCAGGTGACTGTCTGTGTGGAGTTTGCACATTCTCCCCGTGTCTGCGTGGGTTTCCTCCGGGTCTTCTGGTTTCCTTCCACAGTCCAAAGATGTGCAGGTTAGGATGGATTGGCCATGTTAATTTGCCATTGGCCATGTTCAGGGATGTGTAGATTAGGGGGATGGGTCTGGGTGGGACGCTCTGAGGGTCGGTGTGGACTTGTTGGGCCGAAGGACCTGTTTCCCCGCTGTAGAGATGATGATGATGAATTGTAAAAAGCTGAAGGCCCCAGCACTGACTTATTGATGCTGCAAGCATCACAACTTGTCGACCTATCCTAGCTCTCTGACCATTAACCTATTTTCCCCCATGCATGCCAACCTGTTAACACCTCCCACCCAAGCCCACAAGCTTTCGGCCCAGTTAGTTACAATTACCCCGATAACAACTGTTTTCTGTATGCATTGCCTAGGTGAGGAACTGGTGGAGTTCTGGCTGAGGACGGAGAGGATTTTAAAGCTGGGTGACACCAATGCTGAGGAGAGAGATCAGTACTTTGCTCAGCTCCGAATGATCCAGGCCACCCACCTGCAGGAAGGTTCTGTCGTCATGGCAACCTGTAGAGGCCTCATTGGTAAGGCCCCCGCTCAATGCAATCCGATCCAGCTCCCATTTTAAATCACAGCGCCCAATCATTCCCTCAAGATTAATTTTCTGCTTTTCCTCCCTGTGCCCGTATGGAGACTACTGACTCGGTCCCACGCACTGCTTCTCAGATGAGGCTACCTCAACACCATCTTCCAAATCCACAAATACTTCCATCTGGGAGGACGAGGGCAAGATTTTTCCTTTATTCTTTATTCATTCATGGGATGAGGACATCGCTGGCTAAGGCAGCATTTATTGCCCATCCCTAATTGCCCAGAGGGCAGTTAAGAGTCAACCACATTGCTGTGGGTCTAGAGTCACATGTAGACCAGACCGGGTATGGATGGCAGTTTCCTTCCCTAAAGGACATTAGTGAACCAGATGGGTTTTTCCCAACAATCGGCAGTGGATTCACGGTCATCATTAGACTCTTAATTCCAGATATTTTATTGAATTCAAATTCCACCATCTGCCGTAGCAGGATTCAAACCCGGGTCCCCAGAATGTTATCTGGGTCTCTGGATTAACAGTCCAGCGATAATGCCACTAGGCCATCGCCTCCCCAATTGATGAGGGCTGAGCAGTAGACATTGTTTACTTGGACCTTAGTAAAGCCTTTGACAAAGTTCTGCGTGGTGGACAAATTAGTAAAGTTAGGTCACAGTGTGAGCTTGTCAACTGGAGAAAATATTGGCTTAATGGCAGGAGACAGAGTGGTGGTGGGGGGTTGTTTTTCAGGTCACCCTGTTGTAGGAAGGATATTATTAAGCTAGAAAGGGTTCAGAAGAGGTTATCAGAGTGTTGCCGGGAATGGAGGGCCTGAGTTATAAGGAGAGGCTGGATAGGCTGGGACATTTTTCAGTGGAGTGTAGGATGTTCAGGGGTAATCCATATGGATGCTTATAAAATCATGGGGGGCATAGATGAGGTGAATGGCAAATGTCTTATCCTTAGGATGGGGTTTTCAAGACTATATTTTTAAGGTGAGAGAAGAAAGATTTAAACGTGGGCAATTTTTTTACACAGGGAGTAGTTTGTGTGTGGACTGAGCTTCCAGAGGAAGTGGTGGATTAAGGTACAGTTACAATATTTAAAAGACATTTGGATAAGTACATGAATAAGAAATGTTTGGAGGGATATGGGCCAAACGCAGGCAGATGGGAGTGGTTTCATTTGGGAATATGGTCGGCATGGACTAGTTGGACTGAAGGGTCTGTTTCCGTGCTGTATGACTCTATGGCAGCAGATACATGGGAACACCACTCCCTGCAAGTTCCCTTCCAAGCCACTCTCCATCCTGACTTGGAAATATATCGCCGTTCCTTCACTGTCGCTTGGTCAAAATCCTAGAATTCCCTCCCTAAGGGCATCGTGGGTCAACCTACAGCACACGGACTGCAGCGGTTCAAGAAGGCAGCTCACCCCTACCTTCTTAAGGGGCAACTAGGGACGGGTGATACATACTGGTCCAGCCAGCAATGCCCAACATCCCCTGAGCAAATGAGAAGAGAGCCTCACCCATTTCATCGAGGCCTCTCACCTCAGAGTTAGTGTAGTCGGTTCAACCCCCATTCAAAAGACTTGAGCCAACAATTTCCTCACCAGACTAAAATCAGACAAATCCCAAGGATACAATGGCCTATGTTTTTGGGTTCTAACATAGATAGCTACAGATATAGGGTATGTGTTACATGTAATTTTCCAAAATTTCCTAGATTCTGGAACAATCCTCGCAAATTGGAAGTTAGCAAATGTAACTTCTATTAAAGAAAGGAGGGAAACAAAAGAAATGGGAACTACAGTGCAGTTAGCCTGATATCAGTTGTCGGAAAGTGTAGAATCTGTTATTAAGGAAGTTTTAACTTTGAAATTCATAGTTAACCATGATTAGAATAAGTCAGCATGCTTTTAGAAAAGGCAACTGGGTTTGATAAACTTATTGGAGCTGTTTGAGGAGTTGATTAGTAGGGTGGATTAAGGGGAACCAGTAGATACGGTGGATTTAGATTTCCAAAAGGCATTCCATAAAGTTCAACATAGAACATAGAACATAGAACATTACAGCGCAGTACAGGCCCTTCGGCCCTCGATGTTGCGCCGACCTGTGAAACCAATCTGAAGCCCATCTAACCTAAACTATTCCATTATCATCCATATGTTTATCCAATGACCATTTAAATGCCCTTAAAGTGGGCGAGTCTACTATTTTTGCAGGCAGGGCATTTCACGCCCTTACTACTCTCTGAGTATAGAACCTACCTCTGACATCTGTCCTATATCTATCACCCCTCAATTTAAAGCTATGTCCCCTCGTGCTAGCCATCACCATCCGAGGAAAAAGGCTCCCACTGTCCACCCTATCTAATCCTCTGATCATCTTGTATGTCTCTATCAAGTCACCTCTTAACCTTCTTCTCTCTAACGAAGCCTCAAAACCCTCAGCCTTTCCTCATAAGACCTTCCCTCCATACCAGGCAACATCCTGGTAATCTCCTCTGCACCCTTTCCAATGCTTCCACATCCTTCCTATAATGCGGTGACCAGAACTGTACGCAATACTCCAAGTGCGGCCGTACCAGAGTTTTGTATAGCTGCAACATGACCTCATGGCTCCGAAACTCAATCCCTCTACCAATAAAACCTAACATACTGTACGCCTTCTTAACAACGCTATCAACCTGGGTGGCAACTGTCAGTGATCTATGCACATGGACACCGAGATCTTTCTGCTCATCCACACTACCAAGAATCTTACCATTAGCCCAGTACTCTGTGTTCCTGTTACTCCTTCCAAAGTGAATCACCTCACACTTTTCCGCATTAAACTCCATTTGCCACCTCTCAGCCCAGCTCTGCAGCTTATCTATGTCCCTCTGTAACCTACAACATCCTTCTGCACTATCCACAACTCCACCGACTTTGGTGTCATCCGCAAATTTACTAACCCATCCTTCTACGCCCTCATCTAGGTCATTTATAAAAATGACAAACAGCAGTGGCCCCAAAACAGATCCTTGAGGTACACCACTAGTAACTGAACTCCAGGATGAACATTTCCCATCAACCACCACCCTCTGTCTTCTTACAGCTAGCCAATTTCTGATCCAAACCGCTAAATCACCCTCAATCCCATGCCTCCGTATTTTCTGCAATAGCCTACCATGGGGAACCTTATCAAACGCTTTACTGAAATCCAAATACACCACATCAACCGCTTTACCCTCATCCATCTGTTTGGTCACCTTCTCGAAGAACTCAATAAGGTTTGTGAGGCACGACCTACCCTTCACAAAACCGTGTTGACTATCCCTAATCAAATTATTCCTTTCTAGATGATTATAAATCCTATCTCTTATAATCCTTTCCAACACTTTACCCACAACCGAAATAAGGCTCACTGGTCTATAATTACCAGGGTTGTCTCTACTCCCCTTCTTGAACAAGGGGACAACATTTGCTAGTCTCCAGTCTTCTGGCACTATTCCTGAAGACAATGACGAAATAAAGATCAAAGCCAAAGGCTCTGCAATCTCCTCTCTAGCTTCCCAGAGAATCCTAGGATAAATCCCATCCGGCCCAGGGGACTTATCTATTTTCACACCTTCCAGAATTGCTAACACCTCCTCCTTATGAACCTCAATCCCGTCTAGTCTAATAGACTGTATCTCAGTATTCTCCTCGACTACATGAAAGCTTAATACTCAAAATAAATGCTGATGAAGTTGCGGGCAATATACTATCATGAATCAAGGACTGGTAAACAGGAGGGCAGCGAGTGAGTGAGTGTGGGGAAGTGTGAGGTTATTTGCTTTGGAGTTCAAGCAGACGAAAGCAGACTATCTTTTAAAAGCTTTGGAAACTCCAATTGCTGGCGTTCAGAGAGACTTGGATGTACTTTTTGTACAAGGAACACAAGAGGTTAGTGCGAAGGTACAACAAGCAAAGTCGACATGACATTAGCTGTTTTCACAAGAGTTCTGGGAGTCCTACAGTGGTTAGCACTGCTGCCTCACAACATCATGGACCCAGGCTCAATTCCACCATCAGGCAACTGTCTGTATGGAGCTTGCACATTCTCCCCGTGTCTGCATGGGTTTCCTCCACAATCCAAAGATGTGCAGGTTAGGTGCGTTGGCCATGCTAAATTGCCCCAGGATGTGCAGGCTGGGTGGATTAGCCATGGGAATTGCAGTGTTACAGGGATGGCGTGGGTCTGGGTGGGATGCTCTTCGGAGGGTTGGTGTGGATGCGATGGGATTCTGTGACAGGAATGATCTTTTGATTGTGAGACCGCATCTGGAATACAGTTTGCAATTTTATTTCCCATATTTAAGGAAGATTGTGCTTGCAGGTAATGTGACTGAAAATGCACCTGTGTTAAATATTATACAGAATATAAAAGTATGGAGGTCCTTGCCAAAATCTTTTAAATGATACAAACAAAACTTATATATCATTTGTTAGACCTGAACTGGAGTGTTATGGAGAATTCTGGGTCAGATGTCTTCAGGCAAGATGTAAAGATTTCAGAGGGGAGTTAAAACGACACTCACCCTGAGAGATGAGAATCTTTATATACAAGGATAGGTGTGCACTGTTCCTGAAACAGAGTGTTCAGAGGTGACCCAATGAAGATTTGCGAGATACTGCACTTTGCTTGAGTGGGTATGGATGAAAACGATTACCTTTAGCCAGTGTGTCCATCACAATTCAAGGTCACAATTAAAATCGCTGAGAAAAGATGTGGAAGAGACAGAGTTGTCAGGATCTGGAATGCGCAATTGAAGATAGCAGGCAGGCGGTTCAGAGGGAATTTATGGAGTAATGTTTTCAACCAGATGGTGGTGGGAACCTGGAATGCACTGCCTGAAAGGATAGTAGAGGCAGAAAGCCTCATAACATTGAAGAAGTGTTTAGATGTGCACTCGAAACACTGTAGTGTACAAGACTATGCTCCAAGTATTGGGAAATGGTGGCTCAGTTGTTAACACTGCTGCCTCACTGCACCAGGGACCAGGGTTCAATTCCACCCTTGGGTGACTGTGTGGAGTTTGCACATTCTCCCTGTGTCTGCGTGGGATTGCTCTGGTTTCCTCCTACAGTCCAAAGATGTGCAGGTTAGGTGGATTGGCCATGCTAAATTGCCCAGGGATGTGCCGGTTGGGTGGATTAACCATGGGAAATGCAGTATTCAGGGGATGGGATGGGATGGGATGCCCTACGGAGTGTTGGGGTGGGCTGAATGGCCTGCTTCCACACTGTAGGGATTCTATTAAAAAAGAAGGAGCAAGAAGAAATAGGGGACTAGTATAGACATGATGGGCTGAAGGGCCTATATCTGTGTTTGTAAATACACTATGGCCAGAAAAAGTGGTGGGAACCTAACGGTAAAGTCCTGGGAAGTGTTGCTGAACAAAGAGACGTTGGAGTGCAGGTTCATAGTTCCGTAAAAGTGGAGTCACAGGTAGACAGGATAGTGAAGAAGGCATTTGGTACACTTGCCTTTATTGGTCAGTGCATTGAGTATAGGATTTGGGAGGTCATGTTGCAGCTGTACAGGACATTGGTTAGGCTACTTTTGGAATACTGCGTTGAATTCTGGTCTCCGTGCTATAGGAAGGATGTTATGAAACTTGAAAGGGTACAGAAAAGATTTATGAGGATGTTGCCAGGGTTAGAGGATTTGAGCTATAGGGAGAGGCTGAATAGACAGGGGCTGTTTCCCCTGGAGCATCGGAGGCTGAGGTTATAGAGGTTTATAAAATCATGAGGAGCATGGATGGGGTAAATAAAGAATGTCTTTTACAGGGTGCCAGAGTACAAAACTAGAGGACATAGGTTTAAGGTGAGAGGGGCAAGATTTAAAAGGGACCTGAGGGGCAACGTTTTCACGTAGAGGGTGGTGCATGTATGGAATGAGCTGCTAAAGGAGGTTGTACAATGATGACATTTAAAAGGCATATGGAGGGTACATGAATAGGAAGGGCTTAGAGGGATGTGGGCCAAGTGCTGGCAAATGGGATTAGATTCATATAGGATATAAGGGTCTGTTTCCATGCTGAACATTTCTGTAACTCTAACTAATTCCATGAATAATTTTAGAAAGGAATGTGATGAGAAGTTGAGAATGAGGAACTCGTGGGGTGAAAAATGTGTAGGCGTGCTCTTTCAAAGGCCTAGTACAAGCGCAGGGGGCCGAAAGGCCTCCCTCCATTGCAGGAAAAAGCACTTGGCCCATTTCTAGCTGGTAGAATTTTCTCCTTCACATTCACTGTTGTGACTTGTTTCTCCATTTCTCTTCACCGGGAAGATGTCCCATCGCCGACGGTGGAGGGATCCCTTCGAACCAGGAGGGACCTCTTGGAGAAGCTACACAAGCAAGTGCTGCAGAAACTGAAGGCCTATTGGCTGCCCCGCTTCTTTGCCCACTGCAAGCAGAACCTGAAGAAGCTGAAGGAATGTGCCCCTGTTCTCCAGCAATACCAAACCATGCAGTTGCAAGGGGAGGTAACGAAAGAGCAGTCAACTTCTGTCGAGCTCCCAATGGACATCAAAGCCACAGAAGAAGTCACACTGCCCTACTTCACTAAGGCTAACAAACGCCATCTCTGGGGCATCCCCTACTGCGTTGGCAACAACCCAAAGATCACCGTGACCGGACTGGAGCCTCAGATGGAGCTCAAACCTGAGGAGAAGCGACAGTGCCAGATGGGCAGGCAGAGAACTCCGAAGCCAACTGTGCCCAGGGTCCCCCAGTCGATCGCACCAGGCTGCGGGTGCCAGGCTCCAGATTGGACCGCCTGCCGGTCGGCGACCAAGCCCAATAGGGGAGCGGGCCCGGCTCACCTCTCTGAGGAGTACGTCTTCCCTCAGGTGGACTCCTCGCTCCCCATCATCAAGGCGCCGTCCATGCTGACGTTCTGGAGGTTCTCCGAGGTCCCCCCTCAGGCCCGTTACCTCCACTGGGCGTTCAACGCTGACCAGGCAGCCGGGGCCCCCTTTGCGGCCTTCCTTAGGCTCAGCCATAACCACACCAAACTCAACTACCTGTACCTCTGGCACAACCTGAACAACTTCTTCAACGTGGTCCTGAGCACAAAGGACAGGGCGAGCTACCTGCTCAGGGCCATCCTGGCTGAGAGGATTGTAGAGGCCTACCTGCAGGAGGACAGTGCGCAATACACCAAACTCCAGCCAGAAACAGCCTGGAATCTCAAGCTGGTCCTCCCCTCAGGTCAGGTCCTACCCTGGATAATGGCCGCTCAGCGGGAGATTTGCGAGGTGAGCGAACCCCAGCTCTCTTGGGAAGTGGCGAGGTGCAGATAGGATGAGTGCGGCGTCAACACCAAATTCCATTTTAGTAGCTCTCGCCTGTGCAAGGGTTGGGGGATGGTGTCCTGGTTAGCTGTGTGACAGAGGTCGCACTGTTCCATGGAAACGTAGAAAAGAGAAAGGGTTAATCCGTCCAAGCTGGCCCACAAGAATCATATATGTATCAAGTTCTCCGAATGAGCAATCCTCTGAGTGTCATTCTCCTGCCTTCTCCCTGTCACCCTGCACATTGTTCCTTTTCAAATAACAGTCTCATTCCCTTCGGAATGTTTCAATTGAAGCTGCCTCCACCACACTCTCAGGCAGTGCATCCCACACCTTAACCACTCGCTGGCTGAAAATGTTTTTCTCCATCTCACTTTTGCTTCTTCTACCAATTACTTTCAATCTGCGGCTTCTCACTGTCGATCCTTTCATGAATGGGAACATTCTCCCTAGTTGCTCTGTCCAGAGTCCTCCTGATTTTGAATTCCTCGATCAAATCTCCTCTTAGTCTTTTCTCCAAAGAAAATAGTGCCAACTTCTTCAATCTATCTTCATAACTCAGTTTCTCATCTCTGTAATTATTCTGTTTTTGGTCCATTACTTAATATTTTGTTCTCATTTTCTTTATTGATTTCTTGGTCCTCCTTTGCTCAATTCTAAAATTTTCCCAATCCTCAGGCTTCCAACATTCTTTGGAAACTTTATTAATGTTGTCCCTTGACTTAATGTTTCATTTAACTTCCTTTGTTAGCCTTGGTTCACTTGCTTTTCCTTCTGGGTATTTTTGCCTTAAAAGAATGCACACTATTTTTAAAAACCAAGCATAAATTCTTTAAATACAAGCCATCGTCTATTCACCATTAAACCTTTACAGAAGTTTTCTAATCCACCAGAGCCAGTATTCTTCATAATTGTCCTTCTTTAGATTTAAGATCCTAGCTTCAGATTGATCCTCATCTTCTTCAAATTTAATCAAAAGCTTGACATATTTTTAAGGTAAGAGGTGAAAGATTTAAAAGGGACCTGAGGGGCAACATTTTCACGCAGAGAGTGGTTCGTGTGTGAAATGAACTGCCAGGGGAAGTGGTAGATGGAGGTACAGTTACAACATTTAAAAGACATTTGGACAGACATATGAATAGGAAAGGTTTAGAGGGATATGTGCCAAACACAGGCAAGCAGGACTAGTTTAGTTTAGGAAGCTTGGTCACCATGGACAAGTTGGACCAATAGGTCTGTTTCTGTGCTGTATGACTCTATGAACTTAATTATACAAATGGTCACTATTCTCTGTAGGTTTTGTTGCAACAAGATTATTAATTAGCTCTTTCTCATTGCACAGTATGAGATCTAAAATAGCCTGTGTCTTAGATAACAAGGTGTAGAGCTAGATGAACACAGCAGGCCAAGCAGCATCATAGGGGCAGGAAGGCTGATGTTTCGGGCCTAGACCCTTCATTCTTAGTTCACTTCTCAATATATTGCACTCGAAAACTATCTCAAACACATTCCAGGAATTCTTCGTCTGTAGCATAGATACCCATTAAACTTACTCAGTATTTATGGAGGTTGAAGTCACCTATGATTACTGGATGTCCCTTGAGAGACACACCTTAAATTTCCTGATATGTGAGGTTGTTGACTTGCTCGCCGAGCTGGCTTGTTTACATTCAGACGTTTCGACACTGTGCTGGGTAACATCATCAGTGAAGCCTCCGATGAAGCGATGTTGTTCTACTCCGCTTGGAATTTATACTGTCCGGTCCGTTACGGTGAGTACTGTCATTTCCGGTTTTGTTCTGCATGGGTTTGTGTATGGGGTTCAATTCTATATATTTGTTGTTTGCATTATGAGTTGAGAACCATGCCTCTCGGAATTCCTGTGCATGTCTATGTTTGGCTTGAGTTACTATGATTACGTTGTCCCAGTTAAACTGATGGCCTTCATTGTCTGAGTGTACTGATATTAGGGAAAGTTCATCAGTATTCTGATGGATAGTTTCCTTCCTGTCTGTCCGATGTAATGTTGTGGCAGTCGTGGCATGGTATTTTATAAACTACTTTGGTTCTGCATGTTGTGGGAATGGGGTCTTTAATCCTTGTAAGTGTTTGTCGTAGCATGGCTGTGTTCCAAACTTCAGTATACAGGAAAGCAACCCACACTGACCAAATCCTCAACTTCCTTTTCTGCCTCCCTAATTTCTACTTTCAGGACCTTAGTCCTCTTTTCACTTCCTTTAATGTGAGTCTGTGTGGGTGTTTTACCTGATGTGGTGATGCTTATGAAAATCTCCTGTAATAGAAGAAATTGGGTGGGGAAGAATCACCCCATAAGGAACTCAGTCCCAGCTCCATTCAGGAGTAACCTGTCCGGTCTGCCCAGCTCCCATCTCCCCCAGAGCTAGTCCCAATGTCCCAAGAATCTA